AAAATTTAGAATGTTTCCATTATTTTTCTATTATAGGAAATATTGACATGAGTAACTTCAATGATTAGATTCAAAAGTCATCCCGAGTGGACTGCATTCATGTTTCCCAGAGCATATTTTAGAGACCATAAGTCTCATAAAATGTTGAATATAAAAAAAATTCTATGACTAAGTAACTAGGTAACTTTAGTTATTTGTTGGTGGTTCATCATGCACATTGTCAAATTAAAAGAAGTTCTGTGATAATCTGTTTTGATTTGATACAGGTACATTCCAATCTTACATTTTTTCGAAGATGGAATACACTACATTTGTAGGTTGGGATTTCTAGGGAGCAGATGCTGGGGTAGAGATATGCATTTTATGTGCAGTCTGCATGCAGTGCATGTTCTCAACTCCTAGTGGGACTGGGGCAGATAGAAACAAGGTAGGCAGGAGTGACATTGTAATACAGTTGCAGTAGAGGATTCAGCAGATCTGGTGAGGAAGGCTGTGGAGCTAGGAAGCCCCATCAGAGGTGGTCCAACCCTGAAGAAGAAGGTCAGGTTCTTCCAGGGGAAGGTCATGACCTTGTACTAGATACCTTCTTTGATGACAGCATTTCTGGGGAGGGACTCAGCTATGCGCTGTCAGCTGGCAAAATGAGTGCCTTCTTGTTTACTACAACTCTAAATAGCATCTTCTTATTTTTTAAGTAAATGTTTATTTGTTATTTACTACATGGTCTTATTGATTGGAGCAAGTCACTAGGTCACTTTGGAAACCAGTTTCTTGCTCTCTGAAATATGGATGCTGAACTGAAAATTTTTTGAAACATCTAACATCCTCTTTTTCTAGTTCCATTGTATTGATTACATTCAATGTCAGAGATAAATTTTCCTAAATACGTGATTGGCCACATCAAGGTCAACTATGTGTGTAGGTCAACCTTAAGCTTTCATACTACTGCTGTGCAATTATGGAGAAAGTGCATTTTTATAGGGCTTTCAGGTGCATGCCACCTAAATTTGGGAAGCCTCTTAGGGGCAAAATATGGCCTAGGAGATGTGTATTAGTAATCTTTGGTCACTGTGACCAAAACACTTGACACAAAAAACGTGGAGGAGGAAAGATTTGTTTTAGATCATGGTTTCCAAATTTTTTTGTCTATGATGTGCTGACTCCCAGGCAGAAACATCCTGGTGGGCAAGAGAGAGGAAAGCTTCTCAGCTCATTGCAACAGAAAGGAGAGAGAGAGAGAGAGAGAGAGAGAGAGAGAGAGAGAGAGAGAGAGAGAGAACATGTGGGTGTGCACAAGGAAAGAGAATGAGAGAGTACACAGAAGGAGATGGGGAGAAGAAATACCTTCCTAGGGCACAACTCCAGTGATCTACTTCCTCCAAGTAGCCCCCACCCCCTAAAATGTCCACCGCCTCCCGAAATACCATCAAATTATTTCATCCTCACTGGATCAATCCACCCATGAAGATGGGGTCCTCATGACTCACTTTCCAAAAACCTCACCTCTGAGTATTGCAGCATTGGGGAAAAGGCCTTCAACACACAGGGAGACACTCCATATCCAAACCGTACCAAGCTGAGTAGGAGGGGTGCTTTTGTTTTTTAAATATGCTAGTTACAAGTTATTAGGTATTCACTGAAGTAGCTGGCCCGCGGTCTTCCTAGGAATATTATCTCATATTGGTAATAATTGAGTAATCAGACTGCAGTCAGCAGAGAGATGACTGTGTGCCTGCCCCTTTTGTCTGTATAAACAGTGTCTTCGTATCACTGCATCAGTCTGGGAAATATTTATCCCATACACTGGTCTCCCTTAGGTTGCAGCATGAACCCCACCCCACAACCCTAAAAAAAAAATAAAACCCTGTTTGGGATGGTTTTGTTTTGCCTGTTCATTACTTCTATCTTGAGCTGAACAGGCTGAGATGGTTGCATGAAGAGCTGCTAGTGCTAAGAGCACCTAGCAGCTGAGATCTGCTGAGTAGTTCCAAAGAATTGCCGAGAGCCTCTGACTTCTGAAGGCAAGTGGGAGAGCTGCTAACATGAGGGGGAGAGCTGCAGCACTTAAAGCTCAGAGATACCAACACTAAGGTAGCTTCACTTCATCTTTTTGAATGAATTGAGCAATTGAAATCTCAGCTGGTTGGCAACAAGGCTAGCTGTGTTATCATATGTCTGCTAATTGCAGACTTTCTGCACTGTGTTCCCTGCATGGGTGCTCTTCAGATTGGAGTGGAGATAATGCAGTTGACTACAGTGTGGGTAGAAGTGTCCAGAGCAGTACAGGGCAGAGGCATCTAGAGCATTCCTGGCAAAAGTGAAGGTATTTGACAGCGATTGTGATAGCCATGGGCAGTTGTAATGGCAATCACAAAAGCAGTGGTGGCTAGAACAGGGCTTTCAGAACAGGTTCATGGAGACAGCCCAACTGGACTACTGAAGCAGTGGCAGTCTAATCAGCGACCTTTATGACAGCTGTAGGAGCAGCGATGGAATCAGTGATGTCTGTGGCAACTGCAGAAGTGTTGGCCCTGTAGCACCAGCCGAGGCTCCCAGTGGAGCTGCAGGAGTGGCAGCAAGAGTGATCGCTACTCAGCGGAACATGGGACTGCCAGGATGACAGCAGTGGTCCCCGTCCAGCCTGATGTCATCCTGGCTGTTGCTGTCACCCTGGCTAGACTGGCCGTCTGGCTACAGTACCTGGGTATAGGGGAGGGACATGATGGATATCAGTTGATCCACCAGACACAATGATACCCATTCCTACCACCCTCAAGCTGCTTTGGCTGTTTGAAATGAACAGAAAAGTAGAAAAGTATCCCTTTGAGAGAGTTGGGTCTTCCTATTGGTCTCATCCTGAGCTGATGTGATGCCCAACTAGGGGATGAAATGCCAGTTTGTATTAGCTGGGGCTCCCGTAACAAATTACTACAGAATGGGTGGTTTATACAAGCAAACAGGAATTTGTTTCTCAGTTCTGGATGCTGGGAAGTCCAGCAATAAGATGCCAGCTGATTTGGTTTCTGGTGCGGGCTCTCTTTCCGCCTTTCAGATGGCTGCCTTCTTTCTATGTCTTCACATCAGAGACAGAGAAAGAGAGAGAAGAGAAGGAGAAGGAGGAGGAGCAGAAGGAGGAGGAGGAGGACAGGGAGGGGGAGGGGAAGAGGGAGAAAAGAGGAGGAGAAGGAAGAGGGAGGGGAGGGAGAAGAGGAGGAGAGGAAAGAGAAGCAGTCGCAAACCAGCTCTTTGGTGTCTCTTCTCATAAAAGCACTAATCCCTAAGAGCCCACTCTTCAGACCTCATCTCAGCCTCATTATTTCCACAAGATTCCATCACAAATACTATCACGTTGGGGTTATCACTTCAGCATATGAATTTTGGTGGAGGCATGTAGTCACATTTCAGTCTATGACAGTTTTTTTTTTTTTTTTTTTTTTTAATAGGCTTATAGTCACTAACACTTCCCATCGTGTCCTTGAATGGTGACTCCAGTCATTACCTCGGCTACACTTTCCTGATATTTTCGTTTTCTCTATGTGGATCAGAGATAAAGTCTCGGAGTGGGTTGATGGTGGGGGTTAGTAGTAAGTAGGAGATGTTTTCCCACCTCTGAATTAGTCTTAGAGCAGATGTCTGGACCCAGAACTCTCTTTATAACTTTGTATAACTTGATGTTTATTTGTCCTTAACATTGAGTTCCAGCCACCAATTCTAGGACAAGAATAAAATCTCATGCCAAATCTTACTGAAATCCTGTTCCTCCTCCAGGAATTCTGAGCCAGTGCAGGCAGCATTCCTTGGCCAGACAAAAGCCGCTCGCTCAGGCCACCTCCAATGTCTCATGGTCACTGAAATCTTTCCGAGTTCCTCATCTTCCTCATCTCCATGGGATCGATGGCCTCACACATTGACTTTGCATGAGACTTTCTTCATTCCCCTTTAGAAACATTCAGAGCATTTTTTTTTTTCTGTTCTCCACTAGTTGGTGAGCTTCTTAAGGATTAAAACCCATTATTAGAGCACCAAACAAAGATCCTTAGATAGAGGAAGTTTTGCATAAATGTTTCTTTAAATGAATAATTTGGAAGAATTCTGGCTTTCAGGTAGGCATAAAGAAGGGCTAAATTTGGATTTGCAATTATATTAAACGTTTACTGCCTCAGTAGTGATCAGAACTAAGATTGTTTAAAATTAATTATTACTCTTATTGTAAATATTCTTTATACCATAGGCCATACTGAAATTTGGCTGTTTCTTAATTTACTTTATAAAATAGAAGTTATACTGCTTTACTTTTTAAAAGTGGAATAAGTTGAAATACCATTTGTAAAAATAGGAGGCGTACTATTTTAAGGTTTTCTAATAGTACAATCCGTTAGCATATTTAAACCCCTTAAATCAAATGTACTTTGAAAAATGATATCATACATAATAGTGTTTTTTTTAAAAGAGAGAGAGAATTTTTAATATTTATTTTTTAGTTTTCAGTGGACGCAACATCTTGTTTGTATGTGGTGCTGAGGATCGAACCCGGGCCGCATGCATGCCAGGCGAGCATGCTACTGCTTGAGCCACATCCCCAGCCCCGTAATAGTGTTTTAAAATTAAATATATGAATGGAGATTTATATTTCATTGTTAGAATAGATGTTCAAAACAATATTCAATATCTTCCTTAGACAGTAACATAACAGGAAGCCCACATATATCTTTGACATTTTCCTCATGCCATTTTGTGGTAGAATGAAAACATTTTGCTAGAAAACTCTGGGAAGCATTATACTTTCTAATCAATATTAGCTTCAGTTAAATTATGGAACACTCTCAAGACTTCAGGAACGATTCACCCAGAAAATTCAGGCTTAACTTTTGAAGTCTTCTCCATGCAAGACTTCATGTCTTTTATAGCATAATCAGGAACATAGTAAACCATTAACCTGAGGAGAAGAGGATTCAATACCTAATTTTTGATCTTTTTATTCCCACCTTTGACTTTTACAGAATCCATCCCGACGTGTGGCCATCTGGCTCCGGGAAGCAATGTCTCATTCTGTTCCATGTTAGTGATGTCCCACGGAGTACAGAAGTCCATGCCAGCAGACAGCCAGGCTACAGGAGGTCATGTAAGCAAAGTTTAAAAACCATATTATGCAATATAAACACTTTTATGTACTTAATAAAAAGTAGAGTGGGGGCAAACCTGGTAATGTCATACATAAATCAGATTTTTTTTTAAATTGAGCACCTTGGATAAAAAAGAAAATGCCATTTTTCATAGATTGTTTAAAGCATTTCCTGTGGATGGAGAATATTGCACATAAGAAAAGTAGACATTTTTTTTTCTTGCAATTACTCAGATAGGGAATGTTCTAAGCTTTCTAATCTAAATGGTCAGTCACAACTAGTCTACTCTGCTCTATCAATGGAAAGCAGCCATAGACATGGATGTGTCTGTTCAGTCCCAACAAAACTTTATTTAAAAGCACAGGTAGTGGGTGCATTTTAGTAAGCTTCTCAACTCAAAAAAATGATAAAAAAAAAAAACAATTTAGAGAAGAAAAGTTCATTTGAGCTCATATTCAGGGGTTCAGTCTATGGTTGGCCGATTCCTTAACCCTGGGTCTAAGTGAGGCCGAATATCATGGTGCAAGTGTGTGGCAGAGTTAAGCAGCTCAGGACATAGCAGCCAGGAAGCAGAGAGAGCTCCACTGACCAAGGACAAAGAAATAAACCCCAAAGGCATGCTCTCAGTGATCTACTTCCTCTAACTACAACCTACCTGCCCACAGTTACCACCCAGTTAATTCATATTAGTGGATTAATTCACTGATTAGGTAAAGGCTCTCATAACCTAATCATTTTACCTCTGATTTTTTTTTTATTATCTCACACATGAGATTTTGGGGGGATACCTCATATTTGAACCATAACAGGATGAGATTTGAGCTATAGATTGCACTTTGCCAATCCTTGGGAACATAAGATGGTGAGATTCTACAGCTCACATTCTGCTACTTTACTACTTTGCCTTTGAAGAAATGGGTGCTTCAAATTACACAATAAAATAATTCCATTTTCCAACTTCTTAGTTTACTACTTTAAGGAAAATAGAGACTATCTGATATTGATGAGATTATTTAATGACTAATTGAAATTTTTGAAAAATATATAAAGATAATATAAGATCAAGTTCAGTCTCAAGAACTAAACAAAATAAAGCCACAGAAATGAAAATTCAAGCACCTGGATTCTGATTGGTAAACCCATACATATCTCTTTTTTAAAATTTTTTATTGGTTCTTCTTAGTTATACATAATATTAGGTTTCATTGTGACATAATTATAAAAGCATGGAACATACTTTTCTCTCATTCAGATCCCAGTAGTATCCCTTTCCCTTCCTTCCTCCCTGTTCCTCTTACATTTTGTTATAATTTCTGTGTAATTCCTCAAAATAAAATTTTGTATTGTGAACATAATGCAGAAGGAAAGGGGGTTTACATAAACTGAAACTCTTTACATAAATGCTAATAAGAAAAATGTAGTTCCTCTTTTGCTTAGTCATTTTTTGGTGCCAGAAAATAAGAACATAAAAAGTGAAACAAAAAGTGTAAAAAACATATCCTTTGGCAGTAATTACCTATAAACTAACAATTTCCCCTTAACTTCATTAGGCTTCCTTGAAACTACTGCTTAGTAGGAATTTTGGTAAGAATTCCCCTGAACTCAAGGACCAATTTACTGGTGGTCTTTTGGATATACACTTACTAGGGTTTCTGCACTGAGGGTTCTAAGAAAGTACAGGACATTTTGATCATTGGGGTATAAAACTTGGGACTTTTTAAGCACTAGCAATGTAGCTTTGAATTATCTTGTCACTATGAGATATTGATGAAAGCAACTAGTCATTAATTTTAAAAATTCCATTTTGATAAATTTGGGGACAGGAGAGTTTTTTAAAAAATGAGATCATGGTTGAAAATGCAAGAAATTCCAAGAGGAATCTCCTCCCTTATTATCTCAGTGATAAATAAGTGTTTGAAGTTGTAAGAAAAAAGTCTCATATGCTTTCTGTTTTTTTTTTCTTGTTTATGAATTCTGATTCCTCAGTTTTTCCTTCTGCTTCCTTTGTTGGTATTCTAACAAACAGAGGCCTTTTGATTGGTCACTTGTGGTGACTAGTGATTAGTATTCCTGTCTAATATGAGTGAGGACTGAAAATTTAGGGTAGGTAGAGAGACCTCAAATATCTCAATTTGCATACTAAAAAGCAGGCAATCAAGTGCCATTTATTCCTTAGTGACCCTTGATATTACTGTAACTAGGACCCAGTAAAGCACAATTGGTACAGGATTTCCTCTCCAAAGCAGCTCTTATTTTGGAAAATCAATTTAGCATAGTAGGCTTCATAATAAAGAAACCTTGGCTGAAATGACATTTGTATAACTGAATTTCACCTGCAGTGTTTATCATGATCTTTACTTTTTTTTTTTTTACATTCTGAGAATAAATGTACTTATGCATCAGAATTTGGGTATATGGTGAGTTAATTCTGAGAACAAATGTACTTACAAATAAAATTTGGAATATATGGTAAGTTCATAAGGATCTCATATCTACATGCTTTCACCAAAGCCCTCTTTATTTATTTTACCTACAACTGTAGCCTACAGGGTTGGGAAGCCATCAAACATGTCTTTAACTCAATTTGTTTAAAACTTAACAGTATTTCTTACTACTTTTTTTGATTATCAAAGTAATACATGCTCATTATAGTAAAGTAAAAAACCACAGAAATATATACAGTGGAAAAATTTCACTACTTATATAATTACTAAGGAATAACTGATTGCATTATTCTTTCCAGTGTTATTTTTCAACAATATAAAAAAAAAGATACAAAGATTGTTTCTTTGCTTGTTTAACAGAACATTGTAACATTTCTCCTTGGCATTACATAAGTAAATATTATTTCAATGCATATACAATAATCCAAGTTAAAATGTATCAGAAACCATCATTAATTTCCCTAACTTTAATTATTAAAAGCAACACTGTCTAATGTATACTTGGATATATCTTTGTCCATAATTCTGACAATTTTATCAGGAAAGTTTCTTAGCAGGGTGTATTAGAGTTCTCCAGAGAAATAAAACCAATAGAATTCATAATTATAAAAGGGGATTTATTAGAGTGTCTCATATGACAAGGGGGTCTAAAATGTCCCTCAACTGCGGTCTTCAGTCTGGAGAGTCAAAGAAAGTGGGAACTGCTCAGTCTAAGGAATCAGAAGTCTCAGAACAAAGGAAGAGGCCAAAGATGCAGCCCCAGTGCTAGTGCAAAGACCTGAAAGCTACCTAGAGAGCCCCTGGTGCAAGTGTGCATTCAAAGGCGGAAGGACGTGTGGAGTTCCGTGTCCGTCAGTGGCAGCAGCAGAAGACTCCACCTGCTTGGGAAGGGAAAGCCAAGCATTTTCTAGTGGCCACTTCTGCCCTTTGCTCTGCCTGGACCTCCAGCCTATTGGATGGTGCTTTCCTGCATTCAGGGAGGGTCTTTCCCACTCAGTTCACTGATCCACCTGACAGTCTTCTCCAGAAACACCCTAATAGTCACACCCAGAAGTGTGCTTTACCTATTCCTATCATCTCCTCTGTTCAGTCAAGCAGTGGACCAAAATTAACCTTGAAAGAAGTGAATTACAATGTCCAAATTTAGAAATAAGTTAAAGATGCTCAACACGTATTCCAAAAAGCCTGTGCAAATTTATACTTTTGTCATCTCTCTGTGAGTCTTGGTGGCCTGTCTCCTCATCCATCCTAACATTTAATCATCCTTTTTGGTTCCATGAGGAATAGGATAATAGATTATGCCACATGTAAGTATCTCAGGAACCCTACAGAAAACCAGGGAATTTGGATTGAGGGGGAGACTCACAAACTAAGCGTACAGCAAAATCCAGAGACAGTGAAATACCATAAAATCCAAAATATGTCATTTATAGGCAAAACAACTGAAGCCAGAAAAATTTGTGCAGGAAACCCTGTTGAGTACCAGGGAAGCATGGGAATCTGGAAGGAACCCATTGATATCAGTGCTCATCAACAGATAAATTCTGCAAGAAAGAAAAGGACCTGCTCTGTGAGCACTCACCTTGAACAGAAATCATTGCTGGGAGAAAAAGAGAAAGATGTTTTTGCATCTGTAAGTGGGAGAGCTCACAAAGCACATTTTTGAAAAGGAGAGAAATGCATTGGTGGGAAGGGGCTGTGGCCCATGGTGGCAGCTTCCAGTGAAGACTCTGGAGGAGCTCAGAATTGATACTTACGACACCCCTTTTGTAAGTGCCAATGAACTTCACAGTGTGCATCCTGACAGGCAGTCAGATACCTGCCTCCAGTGTGTGTATGTCTTGTCTGGGGTTTCTTTCTGTCATGGAAATGTGCACAAGATGACAGCCTGTGTGTCTGGGCTCTGACCAAGGAAATGGAGACGTCAGCAGGACACCCTTCCCTGTCCTCTGCCTGGGAGTGATTCCTTATGGTGCAGTCTGTGTCCTTCTGTGCACTTAGAAATGGCCAGCTCTGCAGCACTTCCTGGTAGGGGCTTTTCTTGAGTATCCTGATATTTTCCCCATATTTACTTCCTCCCGCTTTCCTGGAATTGCACTCCTTACCGAAATGCTTCTGTGTCTAATGATGATGTCATACTTTTATTGTTTTTTCTAATTTCCATTGGAATTTCTTTCAGGCCACAGATTATTTAAAAATATGTTGCTTAATTTTTCCAGCTGTTGAACATTCCTTAGGTATCTTTTGTGCTTACTGATATCACAGCCAGAATTTAAGTCCTTTTAATTTTTAATAACCTGCTTTATGGCCCAGCATATGCTTAATTTTGCCAAATATTCTAAGAGGACTTGAACAAAATGTGAATTTTGTCAATGTTGGGTGTCAACACCAGGTAGATCAAGTTTATTAATTCTTTTTCAGATCTGCTTTATCCTTATCAAACTCTTCTTTTACTGTTTGTTTTATGTGCATTTTTTAAAGATTTTTTTTTAAAAAACACCCACACTGATGGTGAAATTGCTTTAGTTCTATTAATTTTAACTTAGTAAATGTAA